CGCCTACTACTCCCTGAGCAGGGTGCCAGCAGGGGAAGGGTATGGGGCAGGGGTCAGGACCCAAGCAGAGCACTGGGACCTCCCTGGGCTTGATGCTGGAGGCTGTAGATAAAACAAACAAAAAGGATAGACCTCATGAGCTTTCCAATCCTGTAGCCCTGGCCTGCCCAGCACACCGTGGGTGTGCCCAACCTAAGGAAGTCCAGATGAGTCTAATTCAGTTTCTAAACCCAACTCAACTGACAATTTATTTAAGACAATTGGCCATCCTGTCTGCTCTGCATCACTGACTTCTAATGGATGCTGTGCACCCCCATGGGGAGGATTCCATTAGGCAGAAAACCTGACCTGCAGTTTCTGGGGGCCTGAAGCCTGGACATGGGCCAGGGCTCCCCCTGATTAGCCATCATGGGCTCCCACTGCCTGTGACCTTGATCCCCCTCAAAAGGGACCAAGTCTAGCCCTCACTTTGACCTTGGGGAGAGGGACTGGTCGAGGCCACACAGCAAGTGAGTGGCCAGCTCATGCTGTCAGTCCCTGCACTGTCTTACAACCAGACACTTGCTCCTGAAACACAGGTGGTAAAAACACAGAGCCCCACGGCGAATCCCCGAGCAGCTCCCAAAGGCAAGCACAATTTCCTAAAGACTACTGTGGTATAAATAATTCCTAAATGAAAGTCACAGCACATAGTGGTCATTTTAATAGATAGTAGGGTGCCTTTCTGATCTGTGGCTTCAGGGGTGGGGCTATGATAAAAATAACTTGGCGATTTATAAAACATCTTAAGTCAACAGATCCCTAGTAGGGTTTGTCTGACTTTACAGCCAACAGCCTCACCATCCTGGTTACCATAGAAACGGGATGCCTTGCTCTGTTGCTATGGCTACCACTTTCTAGAACACAATTGGTGGGTCTCACGGTTTGTGATTTCGTTCTGGAAAAAAATAAAATAATAAAGAGAGCCAGAAACTAGCAGCTTGTGTCTGTGTAGCATCACCAAGCCATGGCAGCTACACGTCCTCAGTTTTTCACAAGGCGGCCGCTGCGCTGCGCTGGCCAGGCCGGGGACAGCTACCTCTGGGCTGCCCGACGGAGCTCTTCGTCCTCGGGTCATCGTCCCAGGAGGGCTCGGCTGACCTGGTCCTGGATGTGGTGGGGCTCGGCTGCTCTGGGGAAGGGCTGGAAAGAGGAGCAAGCAGGAATGGCAGTCTGAGGGCGGCGGGGAGGGCTGAGGGGGCAGAGAGGCAAGGAGCTGGAGCTGCCAGAGCTGTGGGAAAGTCAGTCGCCCCCTAGTGGGGACCCGGGGGGCGCGGGGGCAAAGGGCTGTGTGGAAAGCCCCGCGAGAGAGGCAGAGTGGCTGAAGTGACTGGAGTCTGTTCTCAGAGAGAGGTGGGGAGGGGAGACGTGTGCTGCACAGTTTTCACGGCTGCCCTCTCCACGTGATGCTCTGAGCGTGTACACACGAGCTGTCCGTGCGCATACTCCCGGAGTGTGGCTGGTTGGGGTGAGGTGACGGACGGGTCTCCCTAAGATTTCTGTGGGCTGCTCATGTCCTCTGGGTGGTCCAGGCACTGAGCTGAATTCTCGATGTGTCTGAGCTTAGGACATAGGTTAGGTGTGTACTCTGGGTTATCGAGTCTGTAGTCTGTGGGTGACTGTTGGTACACAATTCGTGTAGGGCGCAGACCCCACTGCTTGCCCTGTGGGTGACAACCCAGCATTGCTCTGGAACCTGCTGTCCTGGGCCTATCAGGCTGAGCTTGGCTCCCCATCTAGGGCCAGGGGTCATCGTGTCCCTCCCCACTTCCCCTTAGCCGTGCTCTCTGAATACTGTGAGGTCTTGCCTACCAGGAGCTCAGCAAGACTGCAGGCTAGGTAGGATGCAGGCTGGACCACCCAAAGATACTCTCATCACTGGCCCATCCTCAAAGGGTGCTTCTGCACCAGAGCTACTGAGTCTGGGCACCAAGGCCTAGGATCCACTCAGGTGTGGCCACGATCACGTCTAGTTGGTTCCAGTTGGTTCTAGTCGCCTCTGCCCTTCCTCAGTTACAGGGGACATCACAACATGGAACCATCCAGGTCTAATCCAAGGCTGGCTTCTCAAGGAGCAAAACTCAGGCAGCGTGGTGGTGAGAGAAAAAAGGGAAAGAGGGGAGAGCCAAGTGTGGTGGCGTGTGTTTGTAACCCCGGAGTTGGGGAGCAGAGACAGGTGGATTCCTAGAGCTTACTGGCCAAAGTGAGGCTGAATCTGTGAACTCCAGACCATGTGAGAGATCCTGTCTCAAAAAACAAGGGAATTAACTAAGGAAGACACCAGAAATTAACACACACACACACACACACACACACACACACACACACGCACGCACGCACGCACGCACGCACGCACACACACACTTTCCTTTTGTTTTCTTTTTAATGATTTATTTGTATTTTATGTGTACGAGTGTTTGTCTGCATGTATGTATGTGCATACTTGGTGCCTGTGGAGGCCAGAGGAGGGGCACTGGATTCCCCAGAACTGAAGTTGCAGAAACCACCGTGTAGGTTCTGGGAGTTGAGCCCAGGCCCTCGAGAGAGCTGCAGAGCCATCCTAACTGTCAAGCCGTCTCTCCATGCCCAACTCTGTTTTTTAACATGGGTTCTGGTGATCCAACACTGGGATTCATGTCTGTGTGGCAAGCGCTGTACCAACTGAGCCTCCGTATGTTAGTCTTACTAAGGTCAGGCCTTTTCCTGGACCTCCACGTCTGTCTGAAGATCAGTATGGTGAGGGACTGATGAGAGGAGAGTTGGGAGGGCTTGTGGGACTCCTGGGAGATCAATGCCCTGTCTGGGCCACTCTCAGGAGCCTTTGCAAACACTAACGAGCCGTCACTGGAGACAGACTCATGGCCTCCCTGGGTGGTTGTAGAGATTCCTTGAGGAGCACCTTGGCAGGCCGCCTCCTGAGTACCACAGTTGCCAGTGGGAGCCTCACCCCAGGGGAAGGGCTATTAATGGGGCACTGAGGATGCATGGGATTTTCCACACAGTGTGCATGGCCAGAAGCCTCTCTGGAAGAAGGAACCTCAGGTGCAAAGCCACCGGAGGAGGCACTCTGGTCAGAGTGGCAGAGAGGTACATGTGGCAAGAACGTTGGGTACATGTCGGGTGAGGACCCTGAGGAGTCAAGTGCAGCCAGAGCACAGTGATCCTGGTGTGGCAGGCTGAGGACACTGGCCTTTTCCTTGTGGGCAATGTGGTAGCTGGCATGAGCAGCTCTGGGACCAGTAGCCATGTGACTGGGACTGAAGCCTAGCTTTGAGAGCAGTGGTCCTGTTGAGAGAGGATACAGAAGAAAAGGCCATGTCAGGGGTCACTGCAGGGGCAGGGTACAGCCTGTCCCTGGGGAGTCTAGGCTATGAAAGCCAAGCTCTAAGAAGAGGCCCAGAGAGAGTCCAGGTCCAAATACATAGCAGATGAGGATGCGTGGTGACTTGGAAGGGCTGCAGTTCTGGGCGAGCTGGGGTTGAAGGTTAACGACTCGTCTTTTTGCCTCCACTTTGCTTTCCTGGTCTGTCCTCCATGCACCCCAGGTCTGGAAGAGCTGGATCCCGAAAGAAGAGCTTCCTGGAGTCAGAAGACCTCCTCTCTAGCCTGCTTCCCTCAGCTTTTCCCAGCCCCGCAGGCGTCACAGGGTGCAGGGACTCAGTTTCCACCCACTGCTTCGCACTGTCTTTTTGTGTGTCCTCCTCCTTAGCTGAACAGGGAGCTCCCTGAGAGCTGGACTGGTGCCTGGGTGAGAGTGGTGGGAAGAAAGCATGGCTGGGTGAACCACAGGCTGGTGAGCGGTGTATGGGCAGGGAGAAGGAAGGAGGGAGCGAGAACAAAATGAGGAAGGAGGGGCGCAATTTGAAAACAGAAGAAAGGGATGGAGAGGATAAAGGAAGAAAGAATGAGTGGACAGATGGATGAATGTATGAACGGAAGAGAGGAAGGATAAATGGGCAGGAGGGAGGGAGGGAGGAAGACGGATGGATGGAAAGGTTCATGGAAGGATGACAATGGATGCATTTGACAGTAGCCTATGAGAAAAGGTTCTGAAAATTGCATTGCTATTAAGCTAACAGGATGCCAGTGCACTGTAACAAGCAGCTCACACAGATCTCTTCCTGTTTGTGGGCTCAGGGAGCATGTGGCATCATCTCCTAAGACTGCGTTCATTCTCTAACAGGGCCCTTCCTGCTCTTCCCTCCCCTCCCTGAAGCCCAGGACGTGGTTTTGAAGATCCGTTTAGTTCTTGGTGCCCAGATTTTTGGCAGGTTGGGCTCCAGGCCCCATGGCTTTGGTTAGCCCAACCTAGCAGCTCTGGGCCTCCCAGAGCACGTGGAATGGGGGAGGACCGCCAGTTTCAACCCAACTAAGGCAAAGGCGCTTGACTTCCTGCTGCTAATGGGAGGGGGGGGTCTTTAAGTAAATGAACTGGAGTCAAAGGAAGCAGACACAGCCTCTGCGGGGCCTGGCTCCAGTAGAGCGGTCCCCTTCTATTTCCCTGCACACTTGGGTCCCTGCGTCACAGTCAGTGTAGCTAAGTGCCGTCGCAGACGCCTCAGATTTCAGTGGCTTCACCCAGCACGAGCTTTTGTTTTTGTTTTTCATTTTGTTTTTATTTCTCATCAGAGTATTAAGTGACAGCCCAGCTCAATGTAGCCAGGCTCCTCCTCTCTCACGGCTCGCTGGACCCCGGAGCATCAGTGTTTGGCTAGCATCGGGAAAGGAGGCGTAGGTGAACAGGGATGTGGGCTTTGTTGGCCAGGCTCAGCAGCATCACTTTCTCCCCCTAGACTCCAAGGGAGATAATGTGGTGTGTCAGCCTGGGGTGTGTTGGAAGGGCTCTGTGCACGGCCTGCTCCTAATGTGGCCCTGTGCCTAGACCCAAGGCAAGGCACTCCAGGTCTCTCCACTCGGAGTGAGAAGCCTTTACTCTGACACCCTGTGTTTCTCGCCCACAGTATGTGGCCTTTGCCTCCCTCTTCTTCATCCTGGTCTCCATCACAACCTTCTGTCTGGAGACCCACGAGCGCTTCAACCCCATCGTGAACAAGACGGAAATCGAAAATGTTCAAAACGGCACACAAGTGCGATACTACCGGGAAGCGGAGACGGAGGCCTTCCTCACCTACATCGAGGGCGTCTGCGTGGTCTGGTTCACCTTCGAGTTCCTCATGCGCGTCATCTTCTGCCCCAACAAGGTGGAGTTCATCAAGAACTCACTCAACATCATTGACTTTGTGGCTATCCTCCCCTTCTACCTGGAGGTGGGGCTCAGCGGCCTGTCCTCTAAAGCTGCCAAGGACGTTCTGGGCTTCTTGCGTGTCGTCCGCTTCGTGCGCATCCTGCGCATCTTCAAGTTGACCCGCCACTTTGTGGGCCTGCGGGTCCTGGGCCACACGCTCCGCGCCAGCACCAACGAGTTCCTGCTGCTCATCATCTTCCTGGCCCTGGGTGTGCTCATCTTTGCCACCATGATCTACTATGCTGAGAGGATAGGGGCGCAGCCCAATGACCCCAGTGCCAGCGAGCACACACACTTTAAAAATATTCCCATTGGCTTCTGGTGGGCTGTGGTCACCATGACGACACTGGGCTATGGAGACATGTATCCTCAGACGTGGTCTGGTATGTTGGTGGGAGCACTGTGTGCTCTGGCAGGAGTGCTGACCATTGCCATGCCGGTGCCCGTTATCGTGAACAATTTCGGGATGTACTACTCTTTAGCCATGGCTAAGCAGAAACTACCAAAGAAAAAAAAGAAGCATATTCCACGGCCACCACAGCTGGGATCTCCCAATTATTGTAAATCTGTCGTAAACTCTCCTCACCACAGTACTCAGAGTGACACATGTCCGCTGGCCCAGGAAGAAATTTTAGAAATTAACAGAGCAGGTAGGAAACCTCTTAGAGGCATGTCGATCTGACCTTTCACCTCTGCCCCCTGTAGCAATGATTCCAGATTCAGTCAGACTGCTTCCTTAGTTCCATGGGCGACCCCAGGACCCTGTGCCCAATCTTGAGGTGTGGAGCCTGGGGCCCCAGGGAGATGCTTGGCGGCCAGATCCAGAAGTCAAGAGCTTGCTAGAGGCATCTTACCGGTGCCTCTGGGTAAGGAGGTTGATGTGGTTGGTCTCAGGAGTTCTGAAGAGACCCCCACAGAAGTTTGCTGAGGACTCTCTTAGCAGGAGCCCAGAGGCTGCTGCTTGGTCGGAAGGAGTCAGGCGTAAGTCTCTGGCGGGCTACTGACCCGTGGTGGGCAGGGAGGGAGTGGTGTGATTCAGAGACACCACCCAGCCTTTGGTTTGGTCTTTGACATGGGTGCCTTCAGGCTGTGTAGACCGGCAGAGTGGTCCATGAGATCCGGACAGCTGAGTCTCCGCAAAGGCAGTAGGCGGGATTCTCAGCCCTAGCAGAACCTAGCTGAGTAGACTCCTGCTCTGATGCCAGCTACCGAGTTCCAGGTCTTTGCTAGGAGTTGCCCCTAGGCTTCCGTGACAAGCTTACTTACCCCATAGCATGCCAAACCAACTCATCCTCCGCCACCACTCTAGAGTTTAGCATTTATCTTTAGGAATCTGTTGGAGTGACTCTGGCTTTCACATTGTCTGTTTGGGTTGATGGTCCGGTGGGAGTTTCTGGAGACCTTCTGATGGAAGTGGCTGATGAGCAAGGAACTAGAGGGGGGCCACACCCCGGGCGGGCAGCTTAGATGAAAGCATCATGGACCAGCGACACCCTCCCACCACTGAGAGCTGTCCCCATATCTAGCAGTAGGGACCGTAGCAGCAGCAATACAAGACATCCCAACCACTTACCCACAAATTCACTGGGAGACAGGGGGTGGGGGGTGGGCTGGAACAATACTAGTCACCGAGGGATATATTCTCATATTCCATGGCTAGTGGTTCATTATGGGACTATCTCAGTTTTATGAGAACCTGCACATAGCACATAAAGTTGACCATGGGGCTCTGGTCTGAAGATGAAAACCCATAGTCTACCTCTACCCATGGACTCCCATTGACTTACTCTGAGGACACAGGGATCTCCAAGGAACAGATGACCCAGAGAAGAATGATGGCATGAAGAGGTACTGGGTGAGTGTGAGGTTGGTGTGTGCTGTTAGATTTCTCTAGTCTATGAAGAGCACCCCATGCCTGGGGCTGGCAGAGGGCCAAGCTAGCTCAGCCTGGGGCGAGAGAGTCTCTCTTCCATGTGGGTGGCCTCCCTCAGTGGATGATGGATGTCCTTCCCTGCTGGTGTGCTCTCTGATTCACCTTCCCATCCCAGTCCTTTCTCCTCCAGGCTGGGGCAGCCTGGGCAATGTCCCAAGGCCTACACTTCTTTGGCCATGGGACATTCCAGCCCTTTCACCCCATTCTACGCCCCCTCCTTCCTGAGGCTGCTGTAGGCACAGAAACAGAATGTAGCTTGTGTTCTAGATTGGGGCAGGGAATGCAGGAGGTTAGAGCCCTCCGGTCAAGCCTTGTCTCCATTTATGGGAAGGGCCAGGCCTACCCTTTTGCTTCCTGTTGGCTAGCCATTTTATCCCAGGAGCCACCACCAGGGCAAGGACAGTTTCCTCAGCTCTGGATGGCCTTCCTTCTCCCCCAGCTCCACTGTGCACTCCAGGAAGTGCTCAGACGGAGGGGCATCACATGACCCTATTCAGCCCTTCTGACTCATCTTCCCCAACACTATGTCAGTCAGGTCAGCCCATTGATGATCTGGAGCTCATTCTAGCCAGGCACAGATTCCTCTGCACACTCAGTGACATTATTGCCCATGTACTGAGGACATAAACTCACACACACACACACACACACACACACACACACACACGCACGCACGCACGCACGCACGCAGCACGCAAGCACGCACACGCACACACACATTCACACATTCAGCTAGTCCTAGGGATATTAGCTCTTTCCTCATGTTGCAGCAGATCTACAGAGCCTGCGAATTCCTGTTTCCTTTGGGTTCCTCAGCCCTGCCCCTGAGAGACACCTTGCCCTGGCTCCAGATTTCAGGAACTCTGGTTTGGGCAGTCTCATGACTTGCCCTGTGAGGTCAAGTTCCTCCTTTTCCCTCCTCCACACACATTATTCCCTTTTCCTTCCCTTGCTGTTTTGGTGCTGGCCTGGTGTTCAGCCCCGCCCCTTAGCTCTAAGACTCCGGTCCCACCTCGCCTTTCACCAGAACACTGCTCACCGCAAACACGAGCATGAGAGCAGGGTTATCAATTGCCGGGGGCACGTGAGGTTCCTAGGCCTGTCTTCAGCCATCCCTGTGCCCCAGGCTTGCTGTCTTCTCATCCAAACCCCCTTTTTCCTCATCCCTGTATACCTGGATGGGCAGAGGTGAGAAAGAGCGGGAGAAGCCAGAGCTCCAGGAAGCAGATGGGGTGGGTAGAGACCAGACCCGATGGGAATGTGGGAGATAAGACAAGTCCCCCAAGTTTCTCCAGCAGAGGCAGTTGAACAGGTCCCTAACCCGTTTTCTCCAGTTCCACATCTAACTCCTGGGCTAGGGACTGAGGCCGAATGCTGGGCTTTGCACTTCAGCCAGCCTTCCTCCTCCAGCTCCTTCCCCTCACCTCCACAGTCTGTCTGACCCAGGGATGTTGTGGGCTCGCTCTTTGGGCCAGAGCTCGAATGGCCTCAGTATTTGTGGGCTCTTGCCTGAGGGGCTGCCAAGGGTTCAGGTCTCACCTGGCCATGAGGGGCTCAGGGAGGGATTGTCTGGGACTGAGCCCCTTGGTGAAGCTGCCCTTTTCCTGGAGGGGGCTTCCTTCCCCATCTACAGTGGGGTCAACTGCTTGCTCTGGGCAGCTCGGAATGTTTACTGTCTCCTCTGTCCTGCCATGTCCATTCTTGTGTGTCCTAGCATGTCTGCTCCTGTGGCGTGGGTCAGTCCTTTGTGCTGTGGGGTCCAGGGTTACGGGGTCCCAGCATAAGGGATAAAGAGGGACGCAGGTGGCCAAGTTCGGCTCGCTTCTTGCTTTTGAGTATGTAGAGCCCAAGGGATGTCTCAGAGACACCCTACCCCGCCCAGAAGCGACCCGCTGCAGCCTCGGGGTGGTCTTTCAGGGGAGAGCTTCTTTTCTGAGCAATGGAATCTAAAGTCCCCCTTTCCTGGGCCCTCCAGCTGTCCTCTCTCGGGCTATTGCGGCTGCCTGGGGATAGTGCTAGACCTCAGGGTAGGGAGGGTGGCAGCAATGGGGGCAGAATTGGTGAGGGGGTCGAAAAGAATCCAGCTGCAGGGCTGGCAGCCTGGACTCGGAGTGCAGCCCACACTGCCCACGTGGGCAAGGGGAGATCGAAGGAGAAATGAGGTGACTTTGAATGCCAGGCATGGGTGTTCTTTTCTGTGTTGTTCATATCCCCTCTCCCCTCTCTCCACTAATTCTCTCTCTCTCTCTCTCTCTCTCTCTCTCTCTCTCTCTCTCTTGTTTTGTTGAATGAGTGTGGTGGTTCCCATGACCGTGTCTCTCACAGCTTGTCCCCCTTTAGCCTGAGATGTTCCCCTCTGGGGCAAACCCAAGGCAATGCCCAGCCCAACTAACCCTTGTCCAGTCCTGCGTGCGCCTGGCGGCGCCCGCTGCTGGTGTGAACAGTAAGTACACCGGAAGTGTCTGGAGATGGCAGGAAAGCGTGCCTGCTGACGGAGGGCATGTAGGTTCTCTTTGCTCCAAAGTTTTAAAAAAATGACCCTCTCACAGACGTTCATCTCAGCTCATTTCAAAGCCTGGAAACCATCTCTGAGACGCTGCCCATGCTGCCATTTCATCACCGCAGGCCTCTGGGGTCGTGGGGTCATGGGGTCGTGGGGTCCTGGGCCCGGGGAGACAGGCCCAGGTCTCTGAAAGCAAGTGGGAACCTAGGTTGCTAGCTGCCCTTTCATCCCAGGAGAGACGCGCGGGCGGGTGGGGACTCGGTGATCTTGCACCTGTGGCCTTTCTCATGGTTCCTCCGATTTAGACAATTGGGTTATTTTCTCTTCTGGCCACTGGAGTTTGGGACAGGAAGTGAACGGCCCAGTGCCTGAGAGCACCTTCAGCTGCAGAGAAAACAACAGCCACTCAGCCACAGATCCCTTTTGAGAGGTTGAGGCTGAAACAAAAGCAGGCTCCAGGGGCATCCTGGAAACTGCCCACCATCTATCTTGTCCCCCTGGGTTCGGGATGGCTGCCCCTGCCCCCCCCCACCACTGAGGGACTGCCCCATTTTCAAACCTTTTACAGTTCAATGTGGGAGGCCAGGGGTAGGGGGCATGTGGGCAGAGACTCGGGCCCAGAGGAGGGGTCTCAGGCTGCACTGTCTCTATGGAGGCAGAGGCAGGAGTAGTCACTAACTGACCCTTTCCTGGACAAGAAGAGCAGGCTGTGGACAAGCACTCAAGAGCATCTTTGCCAGCTGGAGAAGATGCGCTTGGAAGCCACTAACGCTCCCCTGGAGAAAAAGTCCTTCGAGGCACATGGACCCCAGCTTCCAGCCCCTCTTCCTCACCATACCACATCCCCATCTCCCCAGCATTCTCCTTCCAGCCCACAGACCCTCCAGGAGGGAGACAGGAGCCAAATGGAATGTGAGGGAGGACATACATGCCTGTGGGCACACGTGTGTGCCCACAGACACACCCCATACGCTAGGGAGCCCCCAGCTTGTCACACGGTGCCAGAGTTTCCCTAGGAACTGGCCTTTCTGGTTTAGAGTCAATCAGGAGTGAAGGTCCTGGGATCTTCAAGGAATGCACTGTACGTGAAATGCCTTGCCATCTTGTACGACAGACTTTTTTAAGTTCCAAAATTATGATGGGAAACCTTTTTTTTTTTTGGATTTGCTTTATGAATAAACCTGATTGGTCCATTTCTCTTTTGACTGACTGCCTCTTTGTAGTGACATGTTGTACACGGGTGGTGATCCCACTCACGTGCACGCAGGGAAGGCTCACTCCTGCGTGCAGTAACATGATGTGAACAGGATCATGGGAGAAGGTCAAATCCAGTGGGAATTTCCCCTAGCTTCCCTTCAGAGAGCCTCCCCTATCAGGTCCCCCAGTCTGGTTTCCTCCCTCACCAGGGGGCTCTCAGAGGAGGCTTCCCCCATAGGTGCAGTATTTGAGTCCCCAAGGGGACAGTCTTGGGAAGGCCTCCAAATCCTTCCTCTTGAAGTTAGGAGGGCCAGTGTGCCTGGCTGTGGCCACATTTTGCCCTCCACCATACATGTCATCCCCCACCCCAGATCTCCTCCCAGGTTCCTCCTTAGGCTACCACAGAAGCCAAGCCGCAAATTCCCCCCACCCAAGGCCATCAGCATCTGTTGTCTCCGCACATCCATTTGTTCTGCTTTCCGGGGATGCTGGCAGAAGGGACCGGCATGGGAGCCCCTCCCACATCCCTGTCCAGCCATCACAGCCTCATGCACATGCATTGATTTTTGTTGTGCAAGCTGACCAGGTTCCCTGGAGTGGTCTGTGGAGGGAGGCACTGTTGAATGTGTGTGGACAGCATTGTAGGTCTGCATGGGGACAGAGCAGATGAAGTCATCTAACTGGGTCTGTGCGGGTACACAGGAAATTCATCTGCATGAACGATGGGGTAGACCAATCAGAGCGGGTCCTTAGAGCGGTGGTGATAGGTGTAACCAGGCCTAGTCTGTATGGGGAACAGGAAATTGAAGGGGCCTGATTGGGTCTTTGTAGAGGCAGTATAGGTCTGTCCAGCTCTTATCTGTGTACAGGACAAAGTTTCAGGGGGACCTGATTATGTACCTGTGTGAACAGTGTAGAAGATGTGATCAGGCTCAGTCTGTGTAGAGGACAGGCTCAGAGGGACAGATTGGGTTCTTGTGAGGACAGAACAGAGGTGTGGCCAGGCTAGTTTCTATGGGCCACAGCATGGTAAAATAGGGTTTGTGTGTGGGGCGGGGGAGTGTAAAATATGTGTCCAGGCAAGTCTGTAGAGGGGATGGGAGATCTGAGGGACCAGACTGTGTCCCGATGCAGACAGGCTAGAAGGTGTGAGCAGGCCTAGTCGGTATGGGATAAAGTTTAGAGGCACCAGATTTGGTCCTTGTGGGGACAGAGAAGAAGGCCAGGGCACCTGAAGTTGGACCCAGATGGAGTGGTGGGAGCAAGCTGAGTAGTCAGACTTGGGGGTACATCAGGAACCAAATGCTGGAATGGGATCTGCATGGGGCGGGGGTGGAGGGGGTCAAAAGGGGCCCAGCCGGGCCTAGGGCTGAATATTGCTGGGGGACAGCCAGGTGCTGGTTAGAAGTAGAGGGTCTGAAAGGCTACTTTTCTGGACTGGGGCCTTTCTGAGTGTCTGTCTGTCTTCTCCCTGAGCCGTGTGTCTGGCCCTCTCCCCATGATTGCATCACATCATCCTGTCTCATTAACCCTGCCTTGGGCCCTGGGCCTGGCCCCAGCACCGCACGCCAGGCTCATCACCGATTCATCTTTTTGCAAACTTTGAGCAAACCTAGGAGTCTCTCCCTCCCTGTGCTGTCAGCAGCCCGCCCCAGGCTCCGCCCCCCTCCATGGACCACCCACTCTTCCATCCTCAGGAACGGGAAGTCCTTGGTCAAATGCCCTACCTTCGGCCCGTCACCCCTTCTCACTAAACAGTTTTCGGTGTCTCAATAGCTTCTGCTTATATGTTTGAAGATTCCAAACTGAATGGGGAGGTGGCGAAGGCCGCGCTGGCGAACGAAGACTGCCCCCACATAGACCAGGCCCTCACTCCCGATGAGGGCCTGCCCTTTACCCGCTCGGGCACCCGCGAGAGATACGGACCCTGCTTCCTCTTATCAACCGGGGAGTACGCGTGCCCACCTGGTGGAGGAATGAGAAAGGGTATGTAGAGGAAGCTGAGCTCTCTGCATCGGCCGGGCCTGCCTTGTACTCCTGCAGATGGGTGGGTAGGGCGGCGGGCAAGGGGCGCTGAGGGGTAGGCAGGCACACTGAGGGGCAAGGATGGAGGGAGCGCCCCCAAGGTTGGCCTCTAGAGGTCAGAGTCCTTTCCCCAAGGGGGATGCCAGGTTGGCAGTGAGAAGCTGAGGCCCAGGCAGCTGTAGGTTGGTATTCAGATAAATGGTAGAAAGGGGCCTGGCACAGGGTGGATGGCCATGGGTTGTAAAACCAAGCCAAGGATGTCCGTAAGGAGACAGGCGGGGAGTCTCAGTTCCCCCAGAGTTCTCTAGTGGGGTAGAGCATGTCCAAAAGGCAAAGTGTTCTTTCCTAACCTTTAGTTGTGGAGGGCAGTTGGCTTGGCCACCACCCTGTGAGTTTAGTCTAAGGTGGTGCTATGGAAGAAGTATCCTTTAAAGAGTCTGCAGGCCAGTGGAAAGGGAGGCCTCAGAGAGAGGTGGCTTTAGAGCTTGGAGATAAGGCCACTGTCCTTGTAGAGGTAAGCTGTGTGCTACTCAGAATATTAAGAGTGATAAACAGAAAACTTGCTAGGACAAAGTGTACCAATGGGACTTTGGATAGTCCTTTCCATAGCCAGAGCACATTACCAGTGCCCAGGGGTGGCCAGTGCCCCCTTGTGACTGGTGAAGGACCAGTGCTATTCTTGCAGTCAGGATTTGGAGAGGTGTAGTGTGGACTGGGGTGAGGCATGGAGAGGAGCTTAGAACAGTCCACATAGGGCTGCAGGCACTGGCCTGGGCTGGGCAGCCCATGCATGCATGCTCACACAGACGCATGCCGACAGCGAGCAGGGTAGCCAGACACGAGTCAGAATCTCGAGGATAATGGTGTGCAGTCTGTGGCCCCTGTCAACGGCGCTAGTGTTGGAAATGGTTAAACCAGACACAAGGAGAAAACAGACTTCCAGAATCAAAGGCAGACCTAGGAGAGGAGAGAGAGAGAGAGCGAGCCTTCACCAAGAGGAGGGAAAGTCTTTTGGGTTGCGCACGACTGCTTAGTTACGCCCATTGGATTCAGGCTGGTCTCGGCTTGTTCGCCCTGCCTGAGATCCCCTGGACCTCAGTGCGGTGTGCTGTTCCCTGCATGGTGCTGCATGGCAGAGGGCTACCAGCCTTGAGGAGGACCCCATCCTTGACACGGATGGGTCTGCTGCTCTCTTTGCAACTGGCTTTTTCCCAGGTCAAGCCTCTAGAATGCCCAGGAGCAGGGGCCACCCTGAAGAATAAGGGGAAAACTATCTCCACGGCTGTGCCCTGCCCAGTTAAGGTCCCACAGGCTGGCTGCCTGGCTCCTTTGTCTTGGATGCTGGATCAGCCGGTGTGGCCTAAGAGAATGGAGTGTCTCTGCTGTGTTTCCAGAAGCACCCCATTTCCTAGTAGTACTAGGGAGTTGAGTGCAATCCCCATCCACAGGCGACCCCCAGTCTCAGAGCCCACCTGGGCTTGGGTGCTGGACTCTTTGGGAGGCACCAAGGGTGAAGGCCCCCCCGCACACGTGTCCGCCCAGCCTGGCTCTCACGAGGACTTGCTTTGCTCTGGCTGATTCGGAGCCCTTTAGGTCTGCAGGTGCAGAGCAGAAGTAGGGACTTCACCTGTCCCCCCAAGGAGGGAAGAGAAAGAGGCTGCTAAGGCTGGTCCTGCTGCATGGGAAACAAGCCAGCTGGAGAAGAACCTGCCTGCCTCTGCATGCGGCTGTTGAGTCTCTCCTCCTCCTCCTCCTCCCTTAACAACTAAGTACCGAGCGGGGAGGGGAAGGCACAAGAGGAGCTCAAGTGTTAATTGTATTCTCTACATACAGATCTTTGCAAAGAAAGCCCTGTCATTGCTAAGTATATGCCGACAGAGGCTGTGAGAGTGACTTGACCAGGCGGCTTGGCCGAGGACACTGGTGGCTATTAAGCATCTGGGTGGACCTGCAGCCCCTCCTCACCCTCGGACAGAGTAAATTCACGCCATGCAGGTTTGCCGGACGAGTCCGAGTGGCCCGGGCATTGTCCTAAGACGGACGTAGCTTTTTCTACGGCCAATGGTAACTGACCGTAGAGGATCGCCCTTCTTTCTTTTCTTTCTTTCTTTCTTTTTTTTTTTTTTAGAAGTTACCTTTTATTTGGGGAGGGGGGGTGAAGGGGAGCCTTAGCATGACTTGCATGAAGTTAAACAGAAAACCCAGCTAAACCAAACCCAGCAGCCTCCACTGTGACTGTACGATAACTCTCACCACCACCAAGAACGGCGAGAAAAGCAAGGGCTCAACTTTCTTTCAGTGCTCTTTATTTTGACACACGGTGTCGGAGCCAAGCTGTGATGGCACTCGGTAGAAGTCTGTACATTGCTGGGAGTTGGGGGGCCAGGGAAGAAGGATGGGGCTGGGGAATGGATTGCTTTTTGTACACAAGACCCAGAGGAAAGGTTTCAAAAAGGCAGTCAGTCAGTCATCGGTCATATTGACCTCACCTTCGTAGCTCATCTCTCACGTGGAACACAGAGAACTTTGCTCCGAATGGGATTGTGAGAACTCACACAGCCGCCCTCTTCCATCTCTGTTTGGCATGCTTCTGACCCAGCGGACGTCTCCCCAAGACCCCGACAGCGGCTAGTTTAGGCTGATTCTCTCATCCCAGTGTGTAGATCCAGTGTGACCAAGTTTCATAACGAATTGTTCATAGTTACACCATATGGATTTTCCAATGTCATTTTAAAGCCAGGATGTAGAGTACCTCCAGTTCAGGACCACCGGAGGGGTGCCTCCCCTCCACCTTTATTAAGGCACAACCTGGCATTGTATGCAATTTAGTACTTCAGAGTAAGAAACAAAAACAAAAAACTGCATGCCCAATGTTATGCAAAGAGATTCCAGCATGAAATAAATTTTGTAACATGGTTTCTGTCTAGTCTAAAGCAGATTTGTTTTTCTGAAGCAATCAGAGGTTTGCAGAGACGTGCTTCTGCATCTCGAATAAATATAGTATTTTCCCAACAGAAACAGAGGACAGTAGCTTGGCTTTGGTCTGATTCTAAAATTAGTGTGTGTGGGGGGAAGGATGATATTTTTGAAAAACACATGCTTGAGTTGAAAAAAAAAAATGCAACATCCCGAGCTTCCACTGCACCATTTCCTGGAAAGACAGCAACCTCCCCTCCCCGGGCCCTGGCCCTGGAAATAAAAAAGCTGACTTCTGAGATGAAGCACTGAGGAGTTGAGTTTTTATTGCCTTCAGGCAGCATCTCCGCTCCGTTCCGGCACGGCCGAGCCGATCCTAGGCCCGACTACTACTGTAGTCATCTAAGCTTGAGGTGTCGCTGGGCTCCGAGGATGCTGGCCCCTGTGGGATAGGGCTGCAGATCCTGTTGGGCCAAGGGACGAAAGCACATCCTCTGTGGGGTTCACCTGGTATGGTTCAGGGACTCATCTTGGGGGGTCCTTGCATGAAGCCATGCCGGAACCTCTAGTTGCCGTGTGCAGCCATGGGCACCTCCCTGCTAGGACTATGATCGGGTCTGACTGTCAGGTCTGGGTGCCCTGGCCAACTTGCAGGGCCTGGTCTAGAGACGACCTCATCGAGTACGCCTCTCTCAGCCTGGATCTGGGGATATTCAATTGCAGGTTTGGGTGTGGGGTGGAATGGAAGATCTGATCCTTCCTCATCGTTAGTGATTCCAGAACGTTCATGTGGAAAGAGACCCCAGAGGCTATACAGTCAGCCCCTGAGCCTCTGAAGATGAGGAGGCAAGGCCAGAGAAGGCATCAAGCTGCTCGGGGCCACCAGCACGAAGACATCAGCCCCCCTAAGGTTTCAGTCCCTTTTGTCACCTCTCAGCACAGCCTGAGTCTGTGATCCTATGGGCAGGTGGGACAAAGTTTTACCCACTCGTTTCTCACCTCTCCGAGGACCTGTCTCAACTTCCTGGTACCCAGCGAAACTCAAGAACTCAGGGGCTGTGGTTGGTGGAGCCAATGCCCAGGCATTTCATAGCTAAGTCTCAGGACACAGCAGTGAAGGAGCCTGGGCTGCTGCCTGAGACCAGTGTTGACAGGAGCCAGGGATCTGCTAGGAAGATGGGGCTTCGCTAAACGACACAAAGCCATCTGGAACATAGGCTCAAGAACCCCACAGCCAGAGAGGATCGACTGTGGAGGGGGCATCTCACAAACATTGCCTACGGTCAGCTCAGAACAGTCCCATCACCCCAGATTACAGCCGAGACAATGAAGCCCAGAGAGGGAGAGAAACTGGCCCAAAGCCACACGACCCGTGAAGGTGAAGTCCCAATGATAACCTGGGCGGGTCTGACTCCAGAGTTCAGGTCGGGCTGTTTGAGCTAAGGACTTTCTGGGTCTGGTCCTTGATGGTGAAACACTGAGGTTATGGCTTCTAAATCCAGGACTCTTAGGACTCGGCCTCCTGGCCTCCTTCATGGAGTGCCATAGGTGTGACGAAGGGGCCACTTGATGTTCTCTTCCAGATCTCTCCTGATCCACGGCTGGCTAACCCCTCCTGCTGAAACATCCTCCTGCCTACGGGTGAAGCTTCACTCCCCTAGCTGGTTTCCTAGACGGCCAGTCTCACTGCCCGCCCTCTACTCTGGCCGGCCTCTGTGCTCCAGTGAGGCTGCCCTGAACTTGCAGCAGCCATACTTAGCTCTCTCTCTCTCTCTCACGCTACTTGCAGCCCTGCCCCACTAACTCCCATAGCTAACTGACCACCACGTCACTTCATCCAGAGGAGACGATGTCTGGGGCAGACTTAGTCTGAGTGAGTCACAGGCCTGGATTCACTGTTCCTAAGCACATGCCACCCACCTTAGTTAGCGTTTTTATTGCTGTGATGGAACACCATGACCAAAAGCAAGTTGAGGAGGAAAGGGTTTATTCAGCTTACACTTCCACATCACAGTCCATCACTGGAGGAAGTCAGGGCAGGAACTCAAGCAAGGCAGGAACCTGGAGGCAGGAGCTGATGCAGAGGCCACAGAGGGGTGCTGTTTACTGGCTTGCTCCACATGGCTTGCTCAATCTGCCTTTTTAAAAAGATTTAGTTATTATGTATACAGTATTCTAACTGCATGCATGCCTGCACGCCAGAAGAAGGCATCCGATCTCATTACAGATGGTTGTGAGCCACCATGTGGTTGCTGGGAATTGAACTCAGGGTCTCTGGAAGAGCAGTCAGTGCTCTTAACCCCTGAGCCATCTCTTCAGCCCCAACCTGCTTTCTTATAGAACCCAGGACCACCAGCCCAGAGATGGCACCACCCACAATGGGCTGAGCCTACCCCATGAATCACTAATTAAGAAAATATCCTACAGGCTTGCCTATAGCCCGACATTTTATGGAGGCTTTTTTTTTTTTTTCAGTTGAGGTTTCCTCCTCTCAGGTGGCTCTAGCCTGTGTCAAGTTGACATAAGACTAGCCGGCGCACCATCCGAGGTTATTACAGGGGACCTCACAGGCATGTGAGGACCCAGCATGGCCAAGGCGGTAGATGTGTCATGGGAAGATGGGTGTCTGTGACCAGAGGGAAGAGGGGGCGTGGGAAATATGGATGGCAGCAGCTGCCGCACGCTGGGCCTTCAACACTTACTCCAGGGCCTGGCCAGAGCCCTGTAAGCGCGCAATGGGGGTATTCTTCCTTCTCCTTCCTGTGACCCTAATGAGCCTAACAAGGCAGGTGAAGTGAAACTATCTAACGGCCATGAGACCTGGAGACTGTTTCTCACAAAGCTGTAAACAGAAGAAAGTGGAGAGTGGATAAGAACGGGATCTCAGAGCTTGCTCAGTTAACCTCCCAACTCCATGGTGACCCATGGGGACACGGAGAAGATCCTTCATTTTACATTTTGCTGAGTTCTAGAACTGACTAAGAGCTGGCCCCCTCACGGGCTGCCAGAAAAGGGAACTTGGTCAAAGTCTTAGAAAGACAAACAGCCACCAAAGGTTGCAGGGGTCAAAGATCTAGACGTATCAACACGTCCTTCCTCGTCTCTGAAAAGTGCTTTCCCTCATCGGAGACAGGCAATGAAGGGACTCCTGTCCACATGGCCATCAGGAACGGCGGAACGGGAGTGGCTGAGGTGAGGTGGTGGGCGATGAAGCCACGCCTTCCTGCGTGTGCCTGCTTCCAGAAGGATCTGACCCACTTGTAAGCAGCATCTGAGGTTCTAGATCCAAGGACTTAGTTATGGCTGCTGCACTGATCCTATTCAGGATGCAAAGCTGTGTCTATGTCATGGCAACAAGGCACTGGGCTCCAGCAACAGAAGCACCCGGTGTTGAGTTTTTCTAGTACGTGCTGAAGGAGATAGGAGGGGGTTCTGCCCTGTGGCCTTCTGGGAAGATGGTGTTGGCTTCTTGTGACTGTGTGGGTCACATGGGAATGCTTTCTGGCCTGGTTTTTGCCAACTATTCAGCCTACAGGACAGAAACCTTGAGCTTGCTCCAGTATGGCTTGCCCCTGGGTGATCGCTCCATCTCTGTGGGCTTGGTCCTGCCAGCAAGGACACATCAGAGCCCAAATGCTGCAACGGCTCTCTGGGCCTGGGAGGTAGGGTTGTGTGGAACGGGGCACAGTGCTTGGGGCCCACGTTAGGAGCAAGGCTTCAGGCACCGGGGGGGCGGGTCCAACGGTGGCTGTAAGTGGTGTCTAGGCTCCGGCCTGTGGAGTGGGACTGATTTCGTCCACACCTTTGGAGCAGAACCCACCTCTAGTCATTGGGCTACTTCCCATCCCATCCTTGTCTAGCTCAGGGCCCAAGGTGTGTGGCCTTGAGATGATCCTACCCTCCCCGCCCCCTTTCGGCCACCATTTTCTCCGGATGAGCAACAAGAACGGTTGAGTAAGAGCAGCAGTTTCTCCACTTTCTTAAGGACCCACTTATCAAATATAATCTTATACAGATCACAATACATAAAGACAAAACCAACACTGCCTAAAGGACCCTGGAGGTTGGCAAGCCCCCCTCTGTCTACCTGACCCCCGTCCCATCTGCAAGGAGATGCCTAAGGCTCCGAAGAGTGTAGGGTGTTGGCTTTTGTTTTTGATTGTTGCTCTTTTGAGATAGGGTCTCACTCTGTAAGCCCTGGCTGGCCTGGAACTTGCTATGTAACCCAGTCTGGCTGTAAACTCACAGATCCACCTAGCTCTTTCATCCAAGTGCTGGGATTAAAGGCATGTGCTACCATGCAAGGCTCTGAAGAATGTAGTTGGAAGGCCTCTCAGCTACATGTTGATGGAAGATCCCCCAACTTTAATGTCCTCGGCTTCTGTAACCTCTGGAAGCCAGTGGAGCCCAGGCATCCCAGCTCAGGACTATACAGTTCGCCTGCTACAGCAGCCCCAGAATCCTGCCTGGTTGGAGGAAGACTTACATCTTCTGAGGGTTTCCCTGGCTCCAGACTCCCTTGTCTGCACTTGGGGTTTCCTCTGCTGGGTCTTCCCAGAAGCCTTGTGTTCTCTCTACTTATTCATTTCATTCCATTCTCCCCACCCGACCCCAAGCCTTTGCTTGTGCCCTAGTCATGAAGACATGAATGTACAGGAAGAGTACCTTGGTACCCTCAGACAGGCAATGGACTCTGGACAGAAAATAAACCCCAAGTTAGAAGGGAAATGTATACTGCTCTGACATATTCTAGAACCCTCTGTCTTCTGACCTAAGGCAGTTGGACCAGAACACAGCCATGGAGCTGGGCTGCCATCATGTAGGGGCTGGGGCCTTCCTTGCTGATGTTTTAACTCTGCATGTCCTTTAGTGAGGATCTCCTCATGTGCATCTGCTGAGTAGAAAGGATGTCCTCTCCATAGCTCAGTCCTCTTTGAGCAGTGGGCAAGAAGCTCCTCATTGTTCTGGTCTGTGGTCCTGCCCAGCTATCAAGGCTTACTGAGGCCCTCTCGAGTTGACTGACAGAAAGATTCTCCAGGGAACCTTTTGTTGGGACAAGCCACTTTATTAAAGGTGCTCCTCATGGTCCCTCATTTCTCATTCTGTCAGAAGTGGTTCAGGCTGAAGTTACTGATCATCTCTCCTTCCAGTCTCTCTCTTTGTCCACGGCATCCTGAGATTCAGTGTTCTCTGTGGCATCTTGGAGGGGGTAGGTGACCTTGACATCCTGGCATGGCCCGGGGTGGGCTGGCAGCTGACATAAGGCCAAGGAGTGTCCAGCCCCACAGCCCACGAGGAGGAGTCG